ATCTCTACTAAAAATACAAAAAATTAGCCAGGCATGGTGGTGGGCGCTAGTAGTCCCAGCTACTTGGGAGGCTAGGGAGGAGAATGGCATGAACCCGGGAGGAGGTGGTTGCAGTGAGCCGAGATGGTGCCACTGCACTCCAGCCTGGGTGATAGAGCAAGACTCTTTCTCAAAAGAAAAAAAAAAAAAAATCTCATGGGTATTACTTTTAGTCCTAAAATAGAAATACACCTTTATTTTGTAAACAAAATTTAATCTAAGGAATATATAACATCGAAATTAGCATATTTATGAAAAGGATCATTTTGTTAAAGGTCTTTCAAATACATACAATAAATTATTATAGAATCATATTACTAAAGTAAAAACTTTCGTTTCTAATGATGCATTTCCACAATCATGCACAAATTTTGTCATTTAATACACATGAATGTTACTTTAAAATAGAACAGAATTCTTACGGGAATGTGAAATAATTTGGTGAGTGTAAACTTTGCTTATTTCTGTCTAGATCCTGGGCAGAAATGAAATGCTTGGTTACAATCCACTTACTCTTTTTATGTAATGTCTTAAGCATTTGCTCTGTCCAGACATTTTTGGGTATTAATTATATTAAGTGGTTGTCAGCTGGAACTTTGGATAACTTTTTTTATGCCATCATTGCAGATAAAGCATATAATGTCATGAGGTTGATTAAATTTCATAAGTATTCTTATTGTCCAGTTTTTAAAAATTATGTATTATAGGAAAGAGAATTTGTTACATTGATATTACTTCTTATTTAAGCACTCATATTTTCCATATCCCATCAAGAAATTATCTTTTACAGACTTAGAAGGAATTTGAACTGAACAGGTTTATTTGAACTACTTTAAAAGTATTGCAGTGAAAAAAATTTGTACATTAGTAATTATAGATGGGTAAGCCACAGTTTGCAAATGATTAATCAAGGCTGCCATGAGAGACTGAATTTCACAAAAAAAGCAATTGTTTTTGTCAGAAAGGAGGAATCAATCAGTAAGTTACAATTAATCCCAACTGAAACTCTGGAATATATTACAAAGCTCACAGAAATTTAAGGGTTGTCTTTAACTTGGGATCCTTGGGAATCTTTGGGAATGAATCTTGTGCGTTAATCAAAATTTATCTGTTTTGGGTGTTATCACAACTGGATACCTGTGGATATAATTGTAGTTTGCATTTCTTTTGGCATTCATGAAGTACTAGGTGGGCTTTTTCTCTTAATGCATTAGGTGAACAAGGCTACTGGTAATCTGTAGTCACTCTGTTTTACAGATGGGGAAATTCAGGCACATACATATTTGATGATGGTTCTATAATCACTCAGCAAGCCAGTACAGGCATAGCAGATCCCTGTGTCTACACTGTTACATACGGGCCAACAATTCTGGAAACTAGTTTGTATGAATATAGGGAGAGAAAAGTCAGAAAACCCAGAAGCAGTGTTGATGATACAATTTTCTGTTGATCTATTTTGAAAAATTAGGTTTGCATGTTTTCTAGAAACCACACACTGTTTAATCGCTTCTGGTGACCATCTGCAAAGCCTGTCAGCTTCCCCTTCAGACCCCTTGTTGAATAAATCTAATCTGACCACTCTTTGCATCTCCAGCCTGCCATTCTCTCTAGCTGTGATGAATCCAAGAGCATCCTGTTGGGTCTCCCAACCTCCACTCTCACCCCAAAATGTCACATTTCCTTATGTTTGCTGGAAAGAACCTTTATAAGTGTCATCACACTGCTCTCTACTTTAAACCTAATGATGCCTTTCCTTCTCACTTAGTGAATCCAAAGCCCTATGCTTATTCTCACTGGTTCTCTCTTGTCTGCCTGTGCTCTGCCCCCAACTTTGTTGTGGTGGTGGTTGTTTGTTTTTTTGAGATGGAGTCCTGTTCTGTGACCCAGGCTGGAGTGCAGTGACATGATCTCACCTCACTGCAACCTCTGTCTCCTGACTTCCAGTGATTCTTGCACCTCAGCCTCCTGAGTAGCTGGAATTAAAGGCACTTGCCACAATGCCCAGCCAGTTTTTGTATTTTTTTTTTTTTAGTAGAAATGGGGTTTGCCATGTTGGCCATGCTGGTTTTGAATTCCTGACCTCAAATGATCTACCCACCTCAGCCTCCCAAAGTGCTGGGGTTACAGTGTGAGCCACTGTGCCCGGCCTCTGTCCCCAACTTAATCACCTTCTACTCTACCACTTCATGACTGCTTTCACCTCCACTCAGTATGTTCCTTCCCTTGCTCACTCACTGTCTTTGTTCAGGTCTCAGCAAAAAAGTCAGTTTCTTAGCCATGCCTTCCCAGGTCACCGTCCAACATACTTACAAGCTTTATTGTCCATACCATGCCCAGATGTGATGTTACAGAATTATTCCTGTATCTGCTTAATATCTGTCTCCTTCACCAGGAAAAAGTTTCATGGGGACATGCACGCTGTCCTCATTGTTCAGTGTGGTGTCCCCAAAGCCTAAACTGGTATTTGGCACATAGTAGCTGCTCAGCAAACATTTTTGGTGAATGAGTGAATGAAACAAACACTTATATTGCATCACTATACCGTATGTCTTTACTACCTTCAGGAAAAATAGTAGCATGTAATCCATTCTCATAGTAACATAGTAAGTATGTGACTTACTATGTTATTTAGGGAAAATTTGCTGTTATTTTTCCTATTGTGGAAGTTAATCATATAAATTGAGTCACTTTTGTCCTACCCAACTAAGTCAAGGGGCCAGGGGGAGAAAACACAGGGCACATAACATTTCGAGAAGGTAATTCTCTGCAAGCCTGGCTACTCAAGCTGCCTGCCATAACCTGAAACTGGTTTTATCTATAGTTACTGAAACAAGCTGTTGCAACTTTAAGACTAATTTTTCTTTCTGTTGTTACTCATGAATCAGAACTTACCAGCTGCATAAAATTTTATTTGTGCCAGTGAACTTTTCTTTCAAAACAATACGTAACATCTCTCCTTTTGGTATAACCTCTTTGTTTTTTGGATATACTGAAGACCACCTGGTCTGTCTGTGTGCCTTGAATTGAAATTCTTGCTTCCTAAACAAAACATTTGAAATGTGGAGATTCCTCTCTGTGCTTCATCAGATTTCAAGACTATGCTGCGCTTGACATAATGGAATCAGCACTATGAGCCCAAGGGTTTGTAGCCCCTGCACCACTCAACCCTAGAGAATATAGAAGAGTACCTTATTGCCCAGCACAGGTCTAGGCCAGTGGTTCTCAACTGAGGGCAATTTGCTCCCCCAGCAACAATTGCCAATGGCTGGAAATATTTTGGTTGGTTGTCAAAGTTGGAAATGAGGAGTTATTGACATCTAGTGGGTCAAAACCAGGTATGCTAATAAAGAACCTATACCGCACAGAAAGGCCCTCCCACAGCAAAGATTATCTGTCTCTAAATATCAGTAATGCTGAGACTGACAAACCCTGACCTACACATTTGGGGAGTTATAAAAGAAATTAAGAGCATGGTCCTCAGCAATTTTAATTTATTATATGAAAAAAAAATAAATATGTTGTTTACTGAGCACAAGGTATGTGCCAAGTGCCATTTTAGGGGCTCATTGTGTCTAGGAATTCTGATTGTCATCTGGTTGTTCTTTTTCCCTTTGCTTTTCTTTTCTTGCTCTTTGCTGCTTGTTACAAGGCATACCAATGACAGGGGCCAAAGCAGCTGTCTTGTCCCATGAGGTACTTTTGAGGATGGAGTCCAGGCTGAGAATACTGACAAGAAAGATAGGAAGAATGTGGGTCTTTGAAATTATTGAGTCCCCATACCATCCTTGCATATGAAAAGGAAATAATTTTCTATTTTGCTTAAGTTACTCTTATTTTACATTTCGTTTTCCCTGTGAAGATGGAATTGTATGTGGGCAAACTTAATCTTAGGATAATCTTGGAATGGCCACCTTCATGTCACAGAGGCTCAGGAAAGGTGGGTGACTTTCTTACAAAGTCATTTATCTAGTAAATACCAGTAAATTCTCAACACAGGATTTAAACTGAGTTCTGATGGAATTAAAAGCCAATGATTTTCTCATTGTATACCTCACACATAGGAAGTCTTACAGAATAACTTTTTTAAACTGATAAAAAATCTCTTGCTCAATTTGTGGTTGATTCTCTTGATGTGCTAAATTTTTTCCTGAGTCACTCTTATAGTTACTGTGAATAGTGTAATGTCCTGGCACAACTGTGGCCCAATTGTAGCAAACGAGCTGTATTTTCTCTTTCTTGCTTTTATATCCCTGTTGTCCAGTGGGAAGTCAGAAAGATACAGCCTGAAGATAGCCCACTCTTCTAATTCAGCTTCATTTAGGAATACACAGTAGATTCCTGGAGAAATAGATTCCTTAGAATTTTCTTTAGTAGGGTGGTTTTTTTTTTGTTGTTGTTGAGAGAACACTTAACCCATAAGACTGCAGTTTGCCTTGGCCATTCCAAAATAAACTGTTTGCAAAATTGACATCTAAACACAGTTTCAGTCTTGCATGATTAAGGTCAAACCATTCATTCATTCATTCATTCTTTTTTTTTTTTTTGAGATGGAGTTTCCTTCTGTTGCCCAGGCTGGCATGTGGTACACCGCAACTTGTATCTCCCGGGTTCAAGCGATTCATGTGTTTCAGCCTCCCAAGCAGCTGGGACTATAGGCATGCACCGCCATGCTTGGCCTCCCAAAGTGCTGGGATTACAGGTAAGCCATCATGCCTGGTCAAACCTTTTTAAAATATATCAAATATCTCCTAAAATGATGCCTTTACAATAACTTAATTTTGGTATTTCAATTTTAGTAGTAAGTAAATAATAGTATAATCTCTCTCTCTCTTTTTTTTTTTTTTTCTGAAATGCAGCATCCTGAGTAGCTGGGACTACAGGCACCTACCAGCATGCCTGGCTAATTTTTGTGTTTTTAGTAGGGATGGGATTTTGTCATGTTGGCCAGACCGGTCTCAAACTCGTGACCTCAGGTGATCCACCTGCCTTGGCCTCCCAAAGTGCTGGGATTACAGATGTGAGCCACTGCATCTGGCCAAGGTCATCTATCTCTAATCAGGAAATAACTATATACCTTTGACTTAAAAAAATATGTATTTAAAATTCTATCTAAATAATCTGTGCAATCAATTTTTATCTTAACTGCATTTTTTTTAGTCCAAGCCACCCTAAGAATTTTCTGGAATGAAATATTACTATAATACTGTAAAACACGCTGATAAAATGGGATATATTTCCATTGTAATGATATTTTTAAGTTGATCCAATCTTAAGAATGTACATTACTTCAAGAACTTGTTTTATTTATTCTTTCTTTCAAATAACAAATTGCTCCATGCCAAGGATACTGTGAATCAGATCCTACTTTTTTATATAGGATATATTATATCCCATATATTATAATGTGGTGGCTGTTCAGCACTTTCATTTGTGTTTCTAGTTTAACATTTTCTTTAAATACATTTCATTTGCTCATTCCAATACAGTTTGATTACTTCTGTTTCAGTAGTATTCATTGATCATCTACTATGTCCTAGACCCTAGTTATAAAGTGATTCTAAATGTAAACTTGGTCTTTGCATTAATTTTTGCTCACTGAGAAAATTCTAAGCTATTGTTACTTCACCCCTTCTTAAAAATTCATACAATATTTTTCATGAGTCTGCATTACTTGAGGACTTATATAACTACCTTCTCCCCCTTACTTTGCCCATTAGAGCATTCATGTACCTTTAGAATCCATTTCTGCTTTTCTCTTTGCTAAACTCTCAATTCTGGCTCTTTTCCAATGTTCTAAGGTTCCTGTGTATTCACCCATTAATGGTTTATATGTGAATGACTTAGTTTCTATCAGGCTCTGTTTATGGTCTCCCAGCTCGATTCTCATGTTCATTACTTATTTGATACTCTGGGATGGAAATATTTGATAAATAATGAGAAAACTGTTTGATTGGGTCACATACACAGATCCTAGGACTGACTACGTTAAGTGTTAGATGGCTCCTCTCAGTAAGGGAACATGGGTGATAGAGACCACTAAGGTCATTGTTTGCATGAAGGCTGGAGAGAAGAATTCTAAAGCTAGAGAGAATATTTTGGAATATTCCAGTGAAATTCTTTCATTGTGCACTTCAGGAATCTGAGGGCTAGAGCAATGATATATCCAGTCAAAAACAGCCTCCAGCTCAGAGGAAATGCTTTGTGTTAGATTCTATTTTTCGTTGTACATAATTTCCTTAAAGGCTCACTTAGGAATGATTTGGAACATTTGACAGGAGATTTGAATTGATGGGCACAAAGCCCTCGTATTTAGTTATAGTATAGAGTCAAAATTTTTAAATGTCAAAATATTTTAATGAGCTGTGTTAACATCTATCTTTCCTAGTAGCTTTTTCCAGTAGAGAGGACAAATATCCTTCTCTCTACCCATCCAATGTTGATGACTTAACTACTTATAACAAAAGATGAATTATAATGAGAAAAACATACAAATTTATTTAGTTTTACATGATATGGAAGTAAATGATTAATTCCATATATTTTTATGGTAGCTTTGATGAAGAGTGGATACTGATGGAGAAATACGATAGGACAAAAGGGGTGTGATCTAGTGGAGATAAACGGGGGAATTTAGCAATGCCTGTTTTTCAGGTCCTCTCTGTGACCCTTCATCTTCAGAGATGAGCATGTTCCTTTCCTCCAGGGATCAGGAGACCCTCACATGAGTGTCTTCTGACCTGCTTCTTGGAAATGTTGGAAAAGCTTTCCTAAGCTGTATGCCCTGGGGGGAGAAGCATATGTGTGGGTGAGGAGGGGAGGTCAGAGAGACTTTCCTGCTTGTTTTTTTAAGATGCCAAGGTATTGTATTTTGAGGAGTGTGTCCTGAATCATATCATCCTTTTCAGTGTGACTTTCCTTTAAACACAGTGTTCTAGGATAGGGGTTAGCAAATGACTTCTATAAAAACATCAGATAGTAACCATCTTTGTCTTGGCAGCCCATACGGTCCCTGCTGCAACTACTCAACTCTGCTGTTGTGGCACAAAAGCAGTAGTACAGAAAACATAGACCAAGAAGAGTGACTGTGATTCAATAAAACATTATTTGTAGATACTAAAATTTGAATATCCCATAATTTTCACACATTATTTTACTTATTTTTTCCAACCATTGAAAATAATAATAACTTAGCTCACTAGTTCAACAGAAACAGGTGGATTTGGCCTGTTGCTGTACTTTCTAAACCCTTGTTCTATGACATTACAGTCACACAGACAAACCAAAACCAAAACAAAATAATAAAAAATGCATTTTTCTGGCAATACAAAGACATATCTTAAAATATTCGAAGTCAAACAAAATGGACAGTTTCTGACATTGCTTATAGAACATTGTTTGTCAACCTGCAGGGATTTGAAATAATGAATAGTAAAAAAAAAAACAAAAAACAAACAAACAAAAAAACCTTCAAATAAATCACAGTTAATTTTTGAAAAATCCAATGTTAAAATTTGATGATCAGAGTCAAGAAAAATTGTGAAAGACTTGAAAATTGACAAAAGTAAAGATTATTTTTCTCTGTTGCACTTTTCCAAGTTCTATGCAGTGTTCACTGTCTTTGAACTATTTTTCACTTTGCAAATGGTAGAAAATTGATAATGCCAGTAACTTGTCCGTGAAAATGCAAATAAATTGTGTCTAGTGGAATACACTTGATACTTCCTCCAGTAATACAACATTTTGCTTATATTTGTGAATCCATTCAGCACCAGCATTCCTTATTGACCCTATTCACCCATCAATCCCCCCAACCCCCACCCATTCCATCTTAATCTATCATTTATCTATTTATCTTCTGAATTTTTCCTTTGAAACAAGTAAGACTATTGAATCAAATATGACTATTTCTTGAATTAAATAAAATCTGTGGTACATTTTCATCTTACATTTGTGTGAGAGTCATGTCTTCACTTTATAAAAGATTTCTCTTTTAACCTTCAGCTCAGAGTTATTTTTCAAAACCTTGACTCTAACAATGGCATGTCCCTTAGTAACAACCACTTATCTGTGGGAAGCCTGCATGCTTATCTTTCTGCTTTTGGGTGACAGAACTCACTGCCTTGATATGGGTGATACAACTCCAAACTGTTAGAAATTTTCCAACTTTATTCAGAACCAATTTTAGAGGTGAGGAAGACTGGTTTTGCTTGTATTAAAATCTGTATGACTTTATTTGCCACCTGTGAAATTTGTTGGGTGAAAACCCAACCTCTGAAACACAGCTGAATGTGACTATTGAAATTTTTGTTTTATATTAAATGCTTTCTGTGATTTATGTGATAATGACTGTAAATCCATTGTGCCCAAGGAAGACATTTCTCAGGAGCAAAATGCAAACTCAGACATACATGAAATACACTGTGCCAAGGATCGAAGAACCAAAGGTGATTTTTTTATCTGATTGCAATTCTAATATGCAGTGGATCAAGATTTGAAATGTTTAGGTACTTTAGCCTTGTTGCAGTACTTACTGACGCTCATACAGTATTCCCTGACTTTATAGATGTTACATTTCAAGAATAATGTTGCTATTCACCCAGCATTTATTGTCCAACTTACTGATCTCCTTTGGAGCAAACAATGACTTCACAGCCAAATCACATTTGACAGTGACTTCAGGAGAAGTGCAGGCTTATGTAATTCAAACAGAGAGTTTGTGCAGAAAACGTCTCAAGTCAGGTATAATTAATTCTCCTTCATTTTGGATATTAATGTTATTATTTCCACAAGTACATGTCTTTACTTCCACGAGATCATGTCTTTATTTTTCAGGAGAAAATAACTGTGATGTGATAATAAACATTAGAAAAGATAAGAGAAATATTCTATTATTTCCTTAAAGCAACATTTTGGACTTAACATTTGTGTAAAATGCATGTGAAAAGAAATTGTTAGTGTTTGTGTGGTTTCAACTAGTGTTCTTTTGAAAAACCCATCTGTATGAACAATATTATATTAGCATGATTAATATAAACCATTGGATGTAAATTTCTCCAACTATCCTAGCATGATGCCAAAAGATGATTATAAGTAGTCTTGGCCTTTTATGCTTAGTAAGACATGATGTCACTCTTTCTCTCTCTCTCCTAATTTTTTTTTTTTTGAGACAGGGTCTCACTCTGTTTCCCAGGCTGGAGTATAGTGGTACCGTCATGGTTCAGTGCAGCCTTCACTTCCTGGGATCAAGTAATCCTCCTGCCTTAGCTTCCTGAGTAGAGAGGACTACAGGCATGTGCCACTAAGGGAGGAGAGCACCCCTCATATTGTCTTATGCCCAATTTCTGCCTCCAAAGAAAGAAAAACTAAAAACTAAAAGGCAGAAATGAAATCCATAGGCAGACAACCTGGCGCCACACCCTAGGCCCAGTAAAGATCAACCCCTGACCTAATTGGTTATGTTATCTATAGATTACAGATATTGTATAGAAAAGCACTGTGAAAATCCCTATCCTGTTTTCTTCTGATCTAATTACTGGTTCATGCAGCCCCCAGTCATGTACCCACTGCTTCCTCAATCAATCACGACTCTCTCATGCACACCCCTCACCCCCCTAGAGATGTGAGCCCTTAAAAGGGACAAGAATTCCTCACTCAGGGAGCTCGGCTCTTGAGACAGAAGTCTTGCCTATGCCCCGGCTGAATAAACCCCTTCCTTTTTTAACTGGGTGTCTGAGGAGTTTTGTCTGATGCTTGTCCTGCTACATTTCTTGGTTCCCTGACCGGGAAGTGAGGTGAATGGTGGATGGTCAAAGCAGCTCCTTAGGCGGCTTAAGCCTGCCCTGTGGAATATCCCTGCTGGGGATTCTGACCAGCCTGAGCGACAGGGATCCTGAGAGCACTCCCGGATGGGCATTTGCCCTGGTGGGACACCTTGCCAGAGCAGTGTGTGGCAGGCCGCCGTGGAGGATCAGCGCAGTGGGTGAACACCAGGAAGGAATGGACACTTGGAGTCTGGACATCTAAAACTTGGTAAGACTAGTTTTTGAAACTTGCCCACTCCATTTGAGTGGGAGCGTGGCCTGATCACCCATGGCGTGCCTTTATCGGAACTTTGGTTTTGGTTTTGATTTAGTTTGAATTGCTTGACAGGACCAGTCTTGGGATCTTGCCCACTCCGTTTGAGTGGAAGCGTGGCCTGAACACCCACGGTGTGCTTTTAGCGGCACTTTGGTTTTGGTTTTGACTTGAATTGCTTGACAGGACTGGTCTTGGCAACTTTCCATTTGAGTGGAAGTGTGGCCTGATCACCCACGGTGTGCCTGTACCGGCACTTTGGTTTTTGTTTTTGACTTCATTTGGATTGCTTGATACTTTGGTTTTGCTTTTGACCTGGCTTGGATTTCTGGATACTCTGATTTTGGTTTTGATTTTGGTTTGGTGCAAACTCCAAAAGTGTGCATCTGCCCTTTTTACCCGTTCTTTGTTTTGTGGTGTGCGTGTGGTGTGAGTGTGGTGTTTTATTTCTAAGAAACATAGGTCAGGCACAAATAAACCCACCCTACTAGGAACTATGTTGAAAAATTTCAGAAAAGGATTTAAGGGAGACTATGGAGTACTGTGACACCAGGAAAACCTAAAACTTTGTGGAAGATAGACTGGCTAGCATTAGAGGTAGGTTGGCCATTAGAAGCAAGCCTGCACAGGTCCCTTGTTTCAAAGGTATGGCACAAGGTAACCTGTAAGCCAGGAAACCCAGACCAGTTCCCACACATAGACACTTGGTTACAGCTGGTTTTAGACCCCTGCCCCCAACATACAATGGTTGAGAGAACAGCAGCATAAGTGGCTGACGGAGGCAAGGAAAGACTAGCAGAGAGAGAAAGGAAAGAGACAGAGAGGAAAAGAGGCAAAGAAAGAGAGGAAGAAACAGAGAGGAAGAGATAGACAAAGAGGGAGTCAAGGAGAGAGAAAGAGGGAAAGAGCGAGAGGTATATATGCAAGTAGTTAAGAAAGAAAAAAGTGTTTCCTATTCCTTTAAAAGCCAAGGTAAATTTAAAGTCTATAATTGATAATAACGGTCTTCTCTATAACCCTATAACACTCCAATACCACTTTGTTATCGGTGTAAGCAAGGGCATATCCCAAAAGCTCTGAGGCCTCCCTATCAAAAATCCTTAACCCAGTAACCCACAGCTGGCCCAAATGCATTCAGTCTGTAGCAGCAACTACTTTCCTAACAAACAAACAAACAAAAAAGTTAAAAAAAAAATTTAGGGGAAACCTCATTGTGAGCACACCTCACCAGTTCAGAAGTATCCTAAGGAAAAAAGGGGAAAAAAGAGGGGGCGGCATTTATATAAAAAGAGTATTATATGGTAAATTATTGTCCTGAAATAAATTAACTGGTGGTTTAAAGAAAGAAATATTTGTAATAAGTCAGAAAGTTGAGGCATGTAGAGAATTGTCTGCAAAAGTCATGAAAAAGAAAAATGTTATAAACAAGAATGTATGCAAAAAATGTATAATTTAAAAGTAACTAGGCCTCTTGAATGTAAAACTATTGAAAAAAAAGTTTATGTGCAAGGTGTATAAGAAAAGTAAAATATACCTTTGGTAAAAGGATTATAAGGAGGCATAAAAATGTACATTTTTACCTACATTAAAACGTTAAAAAAATTGTTTTGAAGGTTTAAGTAAGTTTTAAAATGTTAATTATAAAGAATATTCTATGTATAAACGTTTTAGCTAAAATTAAAGTATCATCCAGTTTTTCTGTGAACTGGACATTAAAGTAAAACCATAACAGGTTTTTCTTAAAGCACGAACCTGCTCTTTAGCAAAAATTATAGAAGATTAAAAAGTCTGTAAAATCTTACCTTATGTTCAAACATTAAAAATTAAATAAATATGTCTATAAAGTTTTATTAAAATTAGGTTTAACATTAATAACATATTAATATAAAGATAAAATTTAGCTTATCTGGTATAAAAATCATACAAGAAGCATTGTTAAATGTGAAATGGTATTTGACTTTCTTTGGTTTAAAAACTAATTTAAAAAGTTGCTAAAGGGAAATTTCTCAGTAAAAAGGCACTAAGGACTATAAAGTCCACCGCCAAAGTCCCTACATTTAAAACAAAAGGTTAGTTTCTTAAAAATTATGTATTTGCTTTATCTGCCGCTTTCCTTTCTTGAAAAAAATTAAAAAAATTAAATAAACAAACAAACAACTAAAAGTATTTTAGTGCATGTACCACCCCTAGAATTTCCAGTAAAGCAGCACCAGCCTGAAGATCACATTCTCATCAAAGGGTGGAAAGAAGAAAAACTTGAGCCAGCCTGGGAAGGACCCTACCTTGTGCTGCTAACCACCAAGACTGCTGTTCATACAGCAAAAAAAGGATGGACTCATCACACCTGAGTCAAGAAAGAACCACCCCATCCAGAGTCATGGGCCATAGTCCCAGGGGAAAATCCCACCAAACTAAAGCTAAGAAAAATCTAACTCTTTTTATCTACTCTATTATGCTTTCTTCTTTCTGCCTTCTATTGCTGACCATCTAGTTATTAACATAACAAAGTCAATTTCACTTTAAACTATTGTATTTAATGCTTGCCTTGTTATACCCTGTAAGGACTTGCCAAGTCAAAGACAGCTCTCGACTTCAGAAGAGTACTTCTGTCCCTTCTTAACTCTCCTCAGATTAGGCATTAGTAAACTAGGACCATTTAATCCAGGGAGATTTCGATAAAGACCCTAGTGCCAGTCAAGAGTGTTGCCCCCCGATGTAGAGCTTTCATGCCATAGTTGGTCCAACATTCTGTGGACCACTACAGAGCAAGGATGGATGGCTCCAACTGTTTTTTTTTTTTAATTTCCTAAAATCATACATTCATTTTACTAGAGGATCATAGAAGCTAAAGACTTAAAACAAACTTTAGCAATTAAGACAGTATACCAAGATGCAAATACCTGGTTAAAATGGATCAAATATTCCATCTGCAGGTTAAACAAAAGTAGTGTTATGCTTATGCACATGGCAGACCAGAGGCCCAGATTGTCCTCTTTCCACTAGGGTGGTCCTCCAGTAGACCACGCATGGGCTGCATGGTAGCTCTTTTCCAGGATTCTACAGCCTGGAGTAATAAGTCATGCCAAGCTCTGTCTGCTATATCCCAAAGGCCAGCACCCTGCCATGCAGCCCCCGAGGGACATCCAGCTTCTGTCTCCTAACACTGAGTTCACTTCATGTCTCTCATGACAGGGAGGAAATTTAGCATTCTTTGGCGACCTGAAAGGATGCAGTGAGCTTAAGAATTTTCAAGAGCTTATCAGTCAGTCAGCCCTTGTTCATCCCAGAGTGGATATATGGTGATATTGTGGTGGACCTTTACTGGGCACTCTGCTGAATAACTGGAGTGGCACTTGTACTTTAGTCCAATTGGCTATCCCTTTCACCCTGGCATTTCATCAACCAGAGGGAAAAAATAATAATCAGACATCCCAAAGTGAGAGAAGCACCTTATGGGTCTTTCGACTCTCACGTCTATTTAGATGCAATTGGAGTCCCATGAGGAATACCAGATCCATTTAAAGCTGAAAATCAAATAGCTGCAGGATTTGAGTGAATATTTTGGTAGGTGACAGTTAATAAAAATGTAGATTAGATAAACTACATCTATTACAAACAACAGCAATGAGGTTTTCATGAGTTAAAAGAAAAACTCATGTTGGCCC